CAGGGTTCAAAGGTTTACGGCGTCTGAAAGCAGCACGAGAAAAGTGATGTTGCTCCGGGTTTCAAAGTGTTAACCCTTGAGACCTGAGCAAATTAGCTAGATTTCTTTGAAAAACATGGGAAGAAGACAGTGAGCAGTGAAAGACCCCAAAAAATTGCAAGAAATTAGTAAAAAGAGAAAATTAAAAACAAGACAATTTTTTAAAAAAAGAAATTCAAAAACAAACACACAAACACCCTGCAAAAGTGCTTAAAAATCATAATAATTGTGTACCATAATTTTAAATATGTGACAATAATACTTACAAATTAGCCTGTAGGCTATATTTTTAAAAAATAATTTTCTAAATATATTAATTTTTGCAATTGGTTGAACATTTCAAAAAAGAACTGGAACTGGAAATGAGGCTTAAAGCCCAGCATACACTGTATGATTTTTGACTGGATTTGACCCGATTTTTGAGACGCACGACCTGCCGACGCTCGGGCTGGATTTCAGCTTCGTCATGCGTCTTTTGCCGTGCAGTGTACAGGGGGGGGGCGAGGGCCGATCATCTGTTCCAGAACCACGGTCGGACGGTTGGATGAATTTCTGACATGTCAGAAATTTGGTCGGCCAGCACAGACATTCGCACAGTTGAAGCAGAGCCACGAGCTGATTCGCCAACGCCTGTCTATTTATCCCTCACTGCGCCTGCGCGAAGACATAGATCACCATGGCGACGCATCGGTGGACTGTAAATATTCTGCTCTCATTTTCAAGCAAGCACAACAAACATACAAGCTAGCACGCTAGACGAGGTACAACACACACACAGGGTGCACCCAGCTGTAGCCGGCTTACCTCCAACTTGTAAAATGTTGTTGTTGTAAAATAGACAAACCATACTGTCCACGTCTCTCAAGCCATCTGCAAGTCCATATGCGCTGACGCCTCTTCTTTTTGGACGTTTCGGCACACAGTATAGCGCAAATCATCAAAGCAAACCGTTTGTCCTGTACAGTGTATGCTGGGCTTTAGTGACACCGCACCACTAAAAAGCAGCAACTCCTCACCTGAAGAAGCATGTTTAACATTTTGCAGGAAAAAAATAAGATAATGAATTATTAAAATATGTCTGTGGCTTGTTGGATTATAAGGCTAATTGTAAAAAAAATAAACATTTTTCATGTCTCTGACAGATACAGACATTGAAACTGTAGTGAAAGGTGATACCATGTCAATATGATCATCAAAACACCATTTTCACTTGTGATGACAGTATTTTTGAACGTGTATTTTTGGTGTATATACAGTGTCATTTGTGGATGGTGTGAGTAGATCAGTGTATGTTTCTGTGCTGAAAACAACAACTCATTTGTGGCCTCACCTGTTGATCATTCACACAGGTGAGGCTCTTTACAAGTTGTGATTTCTGCAGACTCAAAGTCGTATTTTACATCTACGACATTACATTTGTTCTTTAACACTGTGATTTTATACATGAAAATATTGTGATTTTTACATTCTCTGCAACCATGTGCTCTTTCAGGTCAGTCCAGCCTGCAGTGCTACACCTGAAAGCAGCCACGTCTGTAAAGCTCCCTCACATGTTGCACCCTGAATCCACTTACCAAGCTCCTGCTGTAGAGTACATAATGAAGGTAATCTTTTCAGCACCAGAGCATCTTAGGTTGACATCAGTGTACGTTGCCTGGTTGAACACACACAGTCCACCTTATTCCTGAGGGCGGCTCTATAAAAATGATTATAGGTAAAAGTTCTGATGTGATAGCAGAGGTAGTTAGTCACACTAGTCTTGGTGGTTGACCCCCAACGGTGGTTATTTTGAAACTAATTCAACTTTAATTTAGTAAATATAGCTGTTTTTTAAACAGATAATTAAGTAATATTAGATTAGTGTTTTCTATAATGTTCTCATGGAACTCTGGTACCTGTTGTGCTGTCCACGTCTGTAACGTTACTAACAGCCAGACTACGCTAAATTCATGACTTCAATTACAGTGTGTTGAACATGCACCCACAACAAAAACAGATTTCCATCACCATCCAGCCTAGGGCTGGGCAATATGTACAAAAATTCATGTCTCAGTATTTTCTATGAAATTAGTTACATGTTCAGCTGCAAGTCAGAGCCACATTTGAGATGTCAGGAGCACTTTTAAAAAACAGTCTGTGATCAAAATAAAATGCAAAGACAGAGATTTTATTCCCTGTTTGAAAATACACAGCTGCACAACATGTACATGAAAAATGACATCAAATAAGAGCAGGGCTGTACGTTAACTGCACGCAGCACTGGAGCTACAGAGGTTTAAAGGTTTGCAGTACAGGACACTAAACTATAACATGACTATAAAAGTATGTGTGGGCGGAGTTACAAAGTCCATCTGTCGGCTTTCAAATGAATCTAATGCTGAAAAATGATTTAAATATTTTAATCTTATTTCTGCTCAGAGCATCAACAGAGAGGTCATCCATTAGTCTGGACTTTAGACCTTTAAATGTCTTAAATTCAAAACACACATCAAACACACATTAAACACACGTTAAACATGGCTTCAAAGCAACAGTTTCAAACACAAGTACACAAATCAGTTTCACTATAACTCGCAGCATTCACAGAAAAACACTTGTCTTTATCTGGACACATTTTCCCCACAAATACAACATGCTAACATTATTAGCACAAGCTTATGGCATTTTACATTGTATGAATTAGCCTAGCGGCTAGCAAGTCCCCTACTCATATGAAACCAGGGACAACAGCAACATTTAACAAAGGTAACGTTACAAATTCAGCTCCATTACAACTCACAAGGTTCACTGACAAAACAACTGTCTTATAATAAACATGTTTTCCAAACAAATACAACATGCTAACGTTATTAGCACAAGCCTATGGCATTTTACATTGTATAAATTAGCAGAGCGATAACTTGACCCTATATTGACATAAACGGTGTCTAAATATATGTCTTGCTTGAAACCAATCAATTACATATATGTTACACCGCTCAGCCATAGCAGTTCGTCAGCACTAAATAAAGCTGGTAAGGACATTTGATCACCAGGGGTGTTCCTAAGGAAATCCCTTAGTTGAAGGTAAGAAAAGAAGCGTTCATGGGAGAGTTCATAGGTATCCTTTAACTGCTCGAGTGACATGAGAGTCACCCTATATAACAGTTTTCTAAATGATTTACTCATGTTTCATGCCACAGCTTGTATATTTTGTTATTGAAAATCACTGGGATAAGCTTGTTGACCAAACAATGTACGAATCTCACACCAGTTTGTCATTAAACGAATTGTAAGAGGATTCTTTGTCTAACGGAGATGTTCTTAGAATTCTAATATTATATAATATCACTGGTTTCATTTAGTTCAAATATTCTATTTGGGCCTGTTTGGGTTAAAGTTAGCTTCAAATAAAGAAGAAACGGATCAAATTTATGATACCCAGTGATACATTTTGAAAGTGGGAAGATGAAAGCCTCTAAGGTTTTAATCCCAAGTCAGTTTGTCTGATCCTACTCCTGGGGTCTTATGGTCTTATGTATGTTTGTTTTGCTATGGAAGCTAACGTTAGCTAATGTGCTAAAAAGTTAGCGTTGCAGAGAAATCCAATCTTCCTCTTAATCCCTCCCCAGTTTCTGATGAGGTGGACATGATAACCCTTAATACACATAACCTTATTCATCCCTACAACAGGAAATACTTTTTCCCTAACCTGATATGAAGTGTGCGCTGCACATGTGAGCATTTTTGATGATGGCCTCCGTCCAGTCCTTTGGTCTTATCACATTTAACCATAGTTGTCTTTGTTTTTGTTGACGGGCAGTGGCGGCTGGTTTTGAGCCATGACTCCTTCTATTCTGGCCCCAATAACACAACAAGACAAACACATTTTAACACTCCTATGGAGCCTACAGCCCTGTGGGGGAGAGGCAGCTGCACCTCCAGCTGATAACATGATGTCACTGTGATGTCGGCCCTGAAAGGGTATTTTCCGCAGTTAACAAGTCTGCTAGCTTTAGCAGATCTGTTTAAGTCATTGATTCTCAATAAATTAACTAAAGGTTTGAGGTTATTTTGTGAATTGATGCATCCTAAGCCCTGCTACCTTAGTTACTGTTGCTAAGTTAGACAAGTTTGACAAAAAGAAACCTGCCGATGCCGGCTGTGTTAAGCTCGGTGCAGCAGTGTTAATTACATAGTTTCGCTACATAAGACGATATAGACTCACGAAGCCAAAGGCAAGGACTACAGTATGTGATGAAAGGATATATTCACCATGTTAACGTTTACGAACAAAGCAAAACAACACAAATTGAGGCCAACGGTCTCAACAAAAATGGGAGCAGTGCATGCGGGGTATGTGTCCCTTTCTGCTCTTCTGGGACTCAGTCAAGTAATGTACGTTACGTTTGTTATTTTTAGGCGGCATGCGTTCATACTACAAGCGGTTCTGTCTTTGTCCAAGCACTTGTTAACAATAATAGATGTGTCGTCAAAGACTTGCATGTGTCAACAATACATTTCAACTGAACATCATCTGAAGTTTGTATTTGGTCCAAAAATAAAATCAGTTTTTGGTCAATGTCCGAGCCCCATTTTAACATCACATTTCACCACGTACACACTGTGTTCATCCCAATGTACAAAAGGGTGTTAGCCTCGGTCTTTTTTGGTGAACGATAATTCACGTCATCTTAAAAATATGTCAGCAACCAACCAGATGTCTTTAACGTCACCTCAGGAATGAGCAGGAAACAAATCTTTGAGGTTGGTGATCTGACGTTTGGCTAACTCCTCTTGGTGTAGCTATATGTGAGCTAGCTAGTTAGCTAGATGTGACTGTATACAAGGTAATGTGTCCATGAAGATTGTAACTGTCCCACAGCGACATCTTTAATAGCCCAGAAACCTGCTTTTGAATGATGTTCAAATGATGCTTCATGATCTGCTGACATCATGATGATGGAGAGTCAGTTGAAGGATCAGGCGATGATACATTTGTTTTTGTATTTCTGTTTTAGTTCATTTATTTCTTGCTCATGCTTTGTCTTCAAGGTTTCTGTTTCTTCTTTCAGAGCTTTTTCTTTGTGACTTGAGAGGTTTTGTAACAGACTGTACTCTTTGTCATGGCTCTCTTCTTTCTCCCACATCTGTCGCTCATGCCTTTTCTTCAGTTCCTGTATTTCCTCCATGTGCTTCTCTACCAGTGCTGTAAAGTCCTTTGTGTATTTCTGTCTGAACTCATTGAATTCTTCAGCTTGTTTTCTGGCCTCCTCTTCATACTTCCTCTTCATTCCTCTGATTTGTGTCCTATAGTTTTCCTCTAATTCTTTTCTCTCCTTCTCCTCTTGTTCTCTTCTGATTTGATCTTCTTCTCTTCTTTTCTTCTCATAATTTTCTCTTTGCTGCTTGTATTCTTCTTGTAGCCTTCTAAGTCTTGATTGCTCCTCTTGTTGTTTCTGTTCATTTTCTTGATATCGTTTCTTCCACCATTCATCTCTTTCCTTCTCCCACTCCTCTCGTTGTTTTCTCATCTCTTCTCTACTTTTCTCAAACTCTCTGTCAGTGGTTTTCTTTTCCGCTGATTCTGACTTTATTTTTTCCTCCATAACTGCAAGTTTTTGTTCCCAGTCCTGTTGTTGACTGTCTTCCTGCGCCTTCCTCTTCCTGTCCTCGTCTTCCCTCATTTCCTGTTCTTTCTTTCTCTCCTCACGCTCCTTGTTGATGTTTTCCTCCATTTCTTTGAGTAGTTTATCTCTCAGTTGTCTCTCCTTTTCAATGTCTGCTTTCTGTTGTTCCATTCTTCTCTTCATTGCCTCCATTTCCTCCTCATGTTTTCTCTGAAGCTCCTTCTTCTGTTTCTGTATCTCTTCTTCCTTCTCCTTCAGGATTCTCTCCACTTCCTCCTTTATGGCTTTCTCTGCCTCTTGGAACATCTCTGACATGAAACATTTGCCGCCATTTTCCGTCATCATTTTGTTGCTCTTCTTCATCAGCTCTCTGACTTGTGTGCGCTCTGTCTGATCTTTGTTATTGAAGACCTGGTATCTTCCTCCACAGTCGTTTATCAGTCTTTTCAAAAAGCCAGCAGGGTCTTCTTCTAGGTAATTCTCAATTGTTTGATCTTTCAGATCATCTCCTTTGGTGAAGATGATGATGATGAATTCTTGTGAATTCTTGCCGAAGCATGTCTTGATCAGTTCCACAGAGTCTTTCTCCTCTTTTGTAAAGCGGCCGATCTGCAGCACTAGTAAGAACACGTGAGGTCCAGGAGACAACATGCTGATGCATTTTACAAGCTCCTGTTGAACATCGTCATTGGACAGAGTCGTATCAAACAGGCCGGGGGTGTCGACTATGACAACCGGCTGTCCATCTATCTCTCCTGATGCTTTCTGACAACACTTGGTCACTGAACATAAGCTGACTTTAGATTTAAAATGTTCTTTGCCCAAAATGGTGTTTCCAGTTGCACTCTTCCCATTGCCAGTTCGCCCAATCAGCACCATCCTCAGACACTCTTTGCTCATCTCCCTTTTCTGTTTGAGATCCCGCAGTTCAGCTTGAAGTCTTGAAACATTCTCCAGCTGAGCCTTGGTGAACGTGTCCTTTGTGAAGCATGTGGATCCTTCAGCCATCATCTCTTCCACAGCATCCAACAGCTCTGGGATCTGCTGCTGGTCCTTGATGTTGAGAACAACATATCTTCCTCCACAGCTCTGACAGAGCTCCTGGATGTCTCTGTTCTCCTTTATAAAGTTAACAACAGCTGGAGCTGTAGGATCTGACTCCACAGTGAACAGGATCAAGGTGAAGTCATTGACTCGAGAGCTGAATGTGTTCCTGATGGTCTCTAACTCTCCCTTGTCTTCATCAGTGAGGGGACCCACAGGTAGGACCAGGATGAAGGCATGGACGCCCTCAGGATCACAGAGGGAGATACACCTGAATGATTCCTCCATCACTGCCTCCTGAGGTTTTCCATACAAGGCAGGCAGCTCCACCAGGGAAACCCAACGTCCACACACCTCTCCCTGATGTTTAACACACTCTGATGAGCTGGAGACTGAATGAAGCTCTGTCTGACCTAAAATGGCCTTGGCTGCTGAAGTCTTCCCTGCTCCTCTCCTCCCACACAGGACCAGGTTTAAAGCTGCTCTGATGGGTTCAGACTTTGGTCTGATGGGTTTGGACTTTGATGCATCCTTATACACATCACAGCTCACATGCTCTCCATTGTTCTCCTTTGCAGTTTGACCCAATCGTGTTAACAGCTCTGGACGTTCAAGGTTCTTCTGCTTCAGGTATCTGTATCTACACATACTGATCATGTCTTTTAAGGGCTGGTCTGGTTCATCTTTGAAACCTGAGCTCTCCTCTCTGGGTGTTGATATCAGTATCAATGAATGATCAAATGATTGATCACTGAAGAGTTTCAGGACTCTGCAGAGTCTCAGTTTGTGTTCCTCAGTGAAGTCTTCAGGCTGTAGAACCAGCAGGAACACATGAGGTCCAGCATCAGAGAGTCTCACACAGTTTTCTACATGTTCTGACAGTTTGTTTCCAGAGATGTTGGGATGCAGCAGATCTGGAGTGTTGATCAGAACTATTTCTTTTTCCTTTATCTGTCTTCTTTCTTTCAGACAGCAGTCTGGTTCTTCTTCAGTGTTGAACTTAGTCTCTCCCAGTATGAAGTTCCCCACTGAACTCCTCTGAGACCAGCTGTTCCCCAGCAGAACAACCCTCAGCTCACACACTGGAAAGAAATTAAAGAATTAGAAAGAATTGGAAAGAATTAGAATAGCCATCCGACTATAGAACTCCAAATTGAATACGCAAAAAAAAGTTTTTTCCTCCAAAGAGAAAATAATTTCAGACTTCGAATCTGTCAACAATCAACAACATTCAAATTCACATTTGATCTTAACATCCTGTTTAATTTAACTCACTGGAAGGTGGCAGTAAGTCGTAGCTTGTGCTGCGTTCCAGGGGTTGCAGATTACCTGTTTTGAATGTAAAGACATAAATGTACACATCATTCATTCATTCCTTAACTCACATGTAATCTGTATTGGGCATTGATGCAGGTAATGGAGGGTGCTGAGGGACCGCTAAAAGTGGGCAGGCGTATAGTTTAGCGCAATACAGAGCTACAGCAGACTCCTGGCTCTATGCACACCTCCCTCAGTGTAAGATAAGATAGATCAGGACAATGAGCCCTGACAGTATAGTATCTGGGTGGGAGGGGTGGTGGATGGGTCCAACAAACCCTGGGTTTTACTTGGGAGGCCGGTGTTCGTTTCCCATATGAGTGTAGAGCCAAACCACGATGTTACCACATGCTTTTGTTGCAGCCTAGAGTTGGTTTTCTTTTTTAGCTCATAATACGTAGACGCAAAAGTCGACTGACAAAGTGGTGATATGTGACGCTTTGAGATGAGAGTGTGTTGGTCAGGGACAATACCCATCGTATGCAGTCGGCTGTAAATTGTCTTGCGCATACTCTGGAGCTGTCACAAATATCACTTTCCTGAAGTAACTACATTCTGGCCTGTGAACTTTAAAGAAGGTATTTTGGGGGAGTGAAGACACACTGATATACTATACTGTTGCTAGCTGCCTAGCTTATGCTGGCCTGACACTACACAACATTTCTGTCCGTTCCAATTGTAGCTATGTCAGATCAGACGATGGTGGAGTCATAAAATCATGCCATGACTTTGCTGATAGACATGACAGACTACGTCATCGGGTTATTCTTGTCATATTTTTATTATTTTTACTATTCAGTCACTGTGTCTGTTCATGTCCCAGATGAACTGTTATTGTAGTAACGTAAAAAGTGCCACCGGATGGGCAGAACTACATATGAAGTACCACTTGCAAACTATGACAGTCACTGAATCCCCCTCAACAAGTTCATGCAAATGTTTCACAATAAAAGCCTTTTTAGAAAATGAAGGGATTCTGTCTGCTGAAATGATAAGGGGCTCTTAATGTGAAACAGATACAGGAAGTGTTGAGTTTGAAATGACAGCGCGATGCATTAACTTTATCAAAGCAAATGTGAACAGATAAGAGGTAAAAATATAAAAAATACAGATGCAATAATAAATAAAGGCCTGTTTCTAATGTAGTCTGTTGCTAGCTTGATGTTAATGGCAGTACTCAGCGCCCACTTGGACATGCTGCTGTGTTGTGCTATGGCCTATTCAAGTGCTGGAATTTATTATTTACGTGACAACACCTGAACGCAACACAGGCTCCGCTCCAACTGGGTGTGTGCACAGTGCCATGCTGCGCTACTGCGCAAGCGGCGTGTTTTACTGTGCGTAACAGCAGTCTATTGATGGTCATTTACACACTGTCCATAACAATAACTATATCAGGTAACAAACTGCGTCGGGCTCAGGTCGGGTTCGGACTTGAAATCAGAAAGGTTGTTGGGTTTGAGCTGGGATCGTTTATAATTGTCTCACACTCGGGTCAGGTTCGATCAGGAGAATGTGGCCCAAGCCGCCCTCTAGTGTGCTCGTGTGTGTGCGTGTGAGTGTGCGTGTATGTGTGTGTGTGCGTGTGTGTGTGTGTGTGTGTGTGTGTGTGTGTGTGTGCTGCTGTTGGAGGGGGCAAGGTGCCCCCCTAATATAATGGTAGGGGAAACACTGAAATATCTAAACGGCTGGGCTGTTGTCGTACAGTTTCCATGGCAGCAGATTGCTCCTGGTTCCTATTGGTCAGAGTGACGGCTGTGATGGAAGAAGAAAGACAAGAAGAAAATCAAACATGCTAGACTTTCTGTCGGGACGTCGTGAGGCACACACTACACGAGATAAGACGATGGATTATCGGGTACGACACTCATTGTCGTTCACAATCCGAGCCGACACCATGCGACGCTGTGTGGGGCTGTAATCAGGCTGATATCGTGCAGTGTGTACCCGACATTAATCTTAGCTCTGTGTAACTAAAAGTTGCAGATAGATTGATGGGTGGATATTGTGATATTATGGGTTGATACTGGTCTCTGTTCAGGGTGGAGAAGCCTCTGAGGCATCATTTCATATGAAGTCGTCTTCTCACGGTTTAACTTGTTCCTGAAACCTGGAAACTTTTAGCCCCAACAAGTGCATCAATATCAGGTGTGCTAAGTCATCAGATTTGGATCCTCTGCAGGTGTAACAGAGTTTAAAGTGCACTTAATTAATACTTATTGTTAAACTATAATTGTAAATTTTATTTATCGTTTAAATTTTTTTGTCATGTTTGTGAATTTTATCTCTGAGATATTTTTATTTCCTGTTATTTTTAATGTTTCCTGTGGAAATTAACCTGCTGCACATCACCTCTTCTGTACCTCCTGGGTTTCCATAGCCCCTTCTGTCTGCCTCTCACAGTGCCATTTTGCATCGCTGGCAGATAAGTTGCATTGAAAAATGCTGCTGCACTACTTCAATATTTACTCTGTAAATTGAGCAGTTTATGTTGTAAACTTTGGTGCATATTGTTTACGGTGTTTTACTGTCATGTTAGCAGCTGTTTTGTGTTGTTTTGACCACTTACAAGTTTTGTAGGCATTTTCATTGAACTTTTTACCACCATTTATATGACAGCGAGCTGCATTGTGTCATGTGATCAGTTTCTAACATCTGATTTGTGGTGTAAAATGCTGTTGTTGTGTATGTTGAGGAGCAGAGGTGCCATATTGTCTTCTGCAGGTCTGTTTTTGTTTGTTTCATGTTAGAATTTTTGCTCTCTGTTATGTTTCCACCTCACACGCACTTTCATACTTTGCCCACCAGGTGTCAGTGTTTTTCCATTTGAATGTAGTGTTACTTGGTTTTGAGGAAATATATTGTTCTTAGTTGAACTAAGAGTTTTCCAGTGAATTATAACAGCTCTTGGATAATATTGTGACTATAAAGTGATGTCAGATTGATGTATTTGGACTTGAAGGAGAAAATGTAATCAGATTGGGGAGCAGAGGTGCAGAAATAGGTGTCCAGAAGCTAATTAATGTGCCACATTGATGTCTGCAGGAGAAAATAAATGTGGGAAAACATTATCTTCAAGCCTTTATCTGTCCCCGTCTACACACGTTACACTGGGCCGGTTCTGGCCTGCAGTCCATATGTTTGACACCACTGATTCTGACCATCACTTTGATTTAGAAACTTTTCGCTGAAACAATAAAGGTGGTGCAATAAAGCAAAATGTGTAAAGTGAGGAATAAAATTAATGTTTCTATATATGTAACAAAGTATTTAACCCTGTGGAGCTCAAGATTTCAAAACTTTAAAGGTTTTACACAGAATTAAAATTCTTTTTAGTTTTTCGGGTATACTTTTTTTCGTACGCACCATTCTCTCTCCGTATAATTTGCTGCAATTAAAGATACAAAAAACTTTAATTCCCTTTTTTTCATGTTAGTTTTCAGACAGTAAAAAGTGGAGAGGGTCCTATACCGACTTCTACGATGTAAAATACAATCCTTTGCCTCTGATCTGGGGCTTTTTTCAAGGAGCTCCAAAAACTGTCAGCGAGTGGAAAATCAGGGCTAAAGAGGTGCAGTATGAAATGGGCATTAAAACACAGCGAGCTGTGTTGTGTGAACAGTACAGCGATCTGATGATTTTGAAGTTGTGCATTGTGAACTTTGCTTTGACAAACCCTGCTGTGAATGAATGTGGGCAAACCTGCCAGACCTGACTACATCCCTGGCAGTGTACGAAGAACATGTGCCAACCAGCAAGCTGATGTCGGCACTGAAATATTTAGCATAGCTGTCACAGGAGTGTTTCACCTGCTTCAAAACAGACCCATCGTCTCTAAAAAGTCTGCAGTGTCTACTCTGAAAGACTTCCGCCCTTTGGCTCTCAGCCCCATTCTGATGAAGAGAAACCGCTTCTTCAGCACATCACAAACAACGTCCCAGCCAGACTGAACCCACCATCACCAGTCTGCAAAGAGAAACAACAGATCCACAGATGCCTTTTCACTGCCCTCCTCTCAGCCTTCACACACTTTGAAAATAACACCTACATCAGAAAGTTGTTTGTTGATTTCAGCTGAGCATTCAACAAAATCTCCACCGTGGAACTGACTGGCGAGCTGATGCACACTGGGTTTGAGTACCACACTGTACACGTGGATATTGGACTTCCTCACAAACAGACCCCAGAAAGTCCAGATAGGCAGGCCTGCATTCTCCTCTGCTGAACCAATACATTCTGTCAGTGGACTTTCACGTCTACATATTACGTGCTAGGTATCCTCCTGCATCTGCTGTTGACAATCTTGGATGCTGCAACTAACATCAAGACATCAACAAAAGCACCTGGTTAGGTTTAGAAAAAATCATCATGGTTTGACTCTACGTACCTGTGGGAGGCAAACACTGATCTACTGGGTGAACGTCCAGAGTTTGTTGGACCCATCTACCCCCTCCATCTCTACAGGAACTTTCCAGCTCCCTACATTATGACGGCAGCGTTTAAAACTGACACAGTCCAGCTGTGTATTATATTGCAGCAACTAGTGCCATCCAGCCGCATTATGAACTGATGCCGCCTGTCCACGTATCATACTGCCACAACAGGTGCCGTCCAGCCGACTGCACGAAAGGCTCCTTCCAGCTGTGTTACAAACTGACGCCTCCAAGCGGTGTATCATCTTGCTGCAAAAGGGTTTTTTGGTTTAGCATTGGGTGTCTGACATCAAAACCGCTGACAAAGGGGCGATATCTGACGACTTCTGAATGCTAACGGGCAGGCTGAACACTGGGATCCCCCAGGGCTGTGTGCTCAGCCCCCTCCTGATCACGCTGTACACCCACGACTGCAACCCCCAACATGGAGAGAACTCTGTTGTGAAGTTTGTGGACAACACCACCATCGTCAGCTGGATTACAAACAACAGTGAGACTTCATATTCACATCTTGTGCTCAGAAAACAACCTGCTGCTCAACCTCAGCAAAATCATGAGCTGAGCGCTGTTTCTGGGGAAAAGGACATGCAAGCAACACATTCTCATCCCAACTCACCACCGCTTTGTCACTGGACCTACACGTCAAGCTATGGCGCTCTAGGCATCTTCCAGCATCAGTTTTGGACCTTGAGGGACGGCGTGTCAATTTACGGTTGTTACATGAATTGTGTCTTTTCAAAGTACACTTTGTTATTACAGGAAATGTACAGTTTCTGCTTGTTAGATGCATACAGTATTTTTCAAAGTAAACCTACACATTGGTAAAACACTTTGATTTTTTATTTCCTTCTTTAGGTTTAGGCAACAAAAGATGTGGTTAGGTTTAGAAAAACAGAATGTTTGGCTCAAAAAGGTACAATTGTAAGAAACCTAATGTTAACTCAACAACTCGATTGACTTCTGGTGTCACATGGTAAAGAACAGTGTGCTCTTGGGTGAAAGTCCCGAGTTTGACCCATCAACCTCCACTCCCACCTGCCCTATGCTGACTCTCTTGCTCTTTATACTACGGCAGTTACCCAGAGCGTCAAAAAATACTGCCATCCGGTGCGTATCAAGATCAGCTGCAAAGGGTGGCACTGTGCATCAGTGTCTGACGCTGAGGTCCACGAACAAAATGGAGGTATTTGACGAGTCAGGAGTGAGAACTGGATGACGACAAACAGCCATGTCTGCATCAATGGAGCTTATCAGTGGAGCTTCAGTGGCGCAGTCTAACAGTTTTAGTTTCCTGAGAATCATCAGCGTCACAGAGAACCTGCCATGGTCATCACACATCTCCACCCTGAAAACAATATTCACCTGCTAAGTTTTTCTCAGCTTTGCAAGAGACATCATCCTGACTGGTAACATTTCAAACTGGCATCATATGTGTACAGTCCAGGACAGGAGGGCTCTGCAGCGGGGGATTAAAACCTGCCCAGAACATTAGCTATGTCCATCTACTGAGCATCGGTAATATCGGCGAGGTGCCTGCACAGAGGCCAAAGGATCCTAAAAGACAAAAACCCCCCAGGGCTTGACGCTAACTTTTTTCCCAAGGAGCACATGTGCTCCTAAGTTGAAAAAGTAAGGAGTGCACAAAGAACTTTAGGGGCACAATGTCAATTGATCAAATAATGTGTTTTCCATAATAAATGTGATGCAAATAGACATTTACAAGCAAAATTATTTAATTAATTTGTATACAAAATGTACAGAAAGGTAAAATCATCAAGTTTTGAAAAAGTATTGCAATTGAATTTTGTCTTTAATGTTATTATCTTATATATATTATCTTTGCAATATGATTATCTTATATAATGTTATTACTATCCTAAAACATTCTCCAGGTCCTCTGAAACTCTGCAGGGCATTGCGTGGCGCCCTCTTGTTGCTCAGCTTGGCGGCAGAGCGGTGCGCTCTTGCGCCGCGTTAGCACATACACAAGGAATGGGTTCGTCGGCAGAGGTCTGCTCTTTGCGCGCACTGTGTGAAAAGGGCTTTATTTCCACCCAGCCGACAGCCTGGCCGTGGAGAATCTTCCCTAACTGCGGGGATAACGGAGCAGGCTTCCCCGTAGGTCCGCCGCTTCCTCCACACTTTGACTTATTTCCACGCTTTCCGGTATCGTCAGGTGCAAATGCTGCAGGACAAGGACAAGGACTTAAGGCAGCGAAAGTTCGACTAGGTTGTGTGGAAGTGGTGGTGGATGGGTCCAACAAACACCGACTTTCACCTGAGAGAGCGGTGTTCATGTCCTGTAAGATTCTAAAGCCAAACCCTGTTGTTTTTCCTAAACCCAACCACGTTTTTGTTGTTGAAGGAACAAACTTCACTGAGACTGTATGCAAACTGTACATTTCCTGTGAAAACAGAAGTGTATTTTGAAAACAGACAATGCATGTAACAGGCTGATGTTGACACTGCTTCCCAGAATGTTAACAACCAACACACCCAGGGTACCTTGGACGTCATATGT